ATATTAGCACATCTCTTTGTAAAGATATATATATATATATATATATATATATAAATTAATTAATTAATTAATTAACAAAAAACCACAATGCCTACCTGTTCCTATACCTTCCGCACCATTTACAAGAATCATTGGGATGACTGGAACATACCATTTTGGTTCAATACTTTGGCCATCTTCGTTCAAATAATCAAGTAAAACATCATCATCTGGATGAAAAATCATACGCGCAAATGGTGTAAGTCTTGTGTTTATATAACGAGCACTAGCAGCACTTTTACCACCCTATATTAATATTAATATTAATATTATTACCATTATTATAATTATTTTAAATGAAACAACAACTTACATCATTTCTTTTTCCAAATTGTCCTATTGGTTCAAGTAAATTGAGGTTGTTTGATCCTACAAAATCTTGAGCAAGCCCAATAATAGTAGAATGGAGACTCACTTCACCATGATGATACGCAGAATGTTCTGCAATATAACCTGACAATTGCGAAACCTATTATATAAAAGTGTAGAAGTGTAGAATATAGTAAATTGATAAAATTTTGCTAATATCATTTTTTTTAAAAAAAAATAAGATTAATTATAATTAAAAAAATGATTGACCAACCATTTTTTACAAGATGGTTATACAACATGTTTGTAACAATCAGATAAAAAATAAAAGAAAGCTATGCGCGTATATACGCGCATGCATTTTTATTACTATTTTACTATTGCTATTACTATTATAATTACTATTATAATTACTATTTTCTCTCGTCGCAAAAACCGGTATTATTCTTCGCTAGTGCTAAAGAACCCCATATTAATATATACAGTGAATCTCGGTTTAACGAATAGTCTGGGCAATTTTCCAAAAATCCACCACATCGAGGCTTTTATTAAGATTTATTATGGAGAACTTCATCTGTTAAACCAGATATTTAATTAGTATCTGCTAAATCGAGGACCGCTAAACCGAGATTCATTTGTAATAAGTAATGATGATTATACAAAATTTTTTTACAACATATTGCCAACTTTAAATATGATTTGCGGCAATAATTAAGACTATTTTTTTTTTTTTTTGAAGACATATTTAATATGGGATTTGGACTAGGAAAATCGACCTCTCAGCTGATTTTTTTTATTTTGAGTTTTCTTATTTAATATTAATTTATTATACATGGAGAAAAAATTGGATCTTATTTGTATAGGATGAATGAGATACAGGGCTTGGAATTAAAAAATTATACTAAAAATAGATTTTTTGTCTGAGGGGTCGATTTTCCTAGTCCAATTTCCTCCCATATTCTATAGTTAAATTTTTAAATTCTTGCG